CAGTTAGTGACTCCCTTCTCCTCCAACAGTCAATGAAATGACGCTCACAAAAGGGGGGAGGTGGAGGAGGTGTTGGAGGAGGGAGGGTGGTGGTGGGTTTTGTATCTGTTTTTAACGGGCTGGGGGATGGGGGCAGGGTACTTGACAAACTATAGGATGGACTTTAAAAACGTGTGAAGTCAAAGCGGGGAGACCACACGTGCGCGCTCATTATGTGCATGAGAGAGAAAACTTGAACACATCGGTGTTTAGATGCTGAAGCGACTGAAAGAGCTCCCGATGGAGCTCAGTGGACATTTTCACTAAAACACGCAGGAGACCAAGCACGTGACTTATTGAGACACACAGTCCTGTGCAAAAGTTTTAAACCAACCCTGATTGCTTTTCCATCCATCCATCCATCCATCCATCCATCCATCCATCCATCCATCCATAGGACAGCGGCTAGAGAGACTCAAACATCTCTTTCAGCCACCTCTTCCTTCCCAGGCCAGCTAAAAGACAATCTCTTCAGAATGTTCTGGGTCTTTCCAGGTCTTCTTCCAGTTGGACATTCTCAGAAAACCATCCGGGGGTGGTGCTCAAAAATGTGGCCCACGGGTTATTTGCAGCTCTGAGTGATTTTTTTTAATGCAAATGCAGACCTTCTGCAAATTTAATGGTGTATATATATGTATATATAATTATTTTTATTTATCTATCCAGGTTCTCAGAGCTTCTCTAAATCAATAATATTAAGTGAACATTTGGCTATAATTAAATTGTTCCTAATATTTTCTTCTGTTTCATGGTACAAAGCACCACAGACCTTTTAAAATATTTGCAGTTGGTTTAAGAATTGATAAAGGGAATTTGAACAACAACATTGTTGTTGTTACAACAACATTCCCTTTGGGATTAATGAAGTATTTATGAATTGAATTGAACAATTTTAACAGAATATAAAGTAGTGTACAAGTTGATCAGTTTTCTAAGTGTCCCTAATCTTCTTTGAATCTGTTTTAGTGACTGCCAGTTGATTGTTTCAGTGCTTTGATCACCTTTTTGGGCCATTCGTGGTCCACCCCTGGTGTATTAGATATTAAATGTATATTAGATGCCTGCACCACCTCAACTTGATCCTCATGGAGGAGCAGTGGCTCTATACTTCAGGGAGTCTGTCCTGGATGATTGAACTTCTCACCCTCTATGGGAAATTCCAGCTAACCTGCAGAGAAAAATAATTTCTGTTGCAACCATTTCACATGAATTAAAAAAAAAGTTTATATTTTCAAACATGTATTTTTTTAAGCCTTTGTAATTGGAATTCACCACCCAGAAGCTGCAGTTTAATCACCTTTTATACTCTGCTATCACTGTCCAGGCCCCTAACCAACCAGGCGTAAACCAGTTGGCTTTAGGAAGAAGTCCCTAAGCTCCAGAGAACAAATAAAGAGGTGACTAAAGGCTTATACAGCTGCGTGTCCTTTGAGAGTGGTCAGAGAGATCATGGTCCTCCCAGGCGCTGATGGTGTCCAGTCAAGGTGGACTGACAAGAGCCTGCTGTCCCAGAATATTATAATAAATGTGCACGTATCATAACCAAAAGTATGTGCAAAAATGTACTCCTTGAACAATACGGTCTTAAATTTGTTGTCCCGTTTTCAAACAGGAAAAATGTATCGTCTAATTTCAGCACCACGGACAGTTCTTCTAAAAGGCGCCATTAAGCAGATGCAGATTACCTGTTTGAAAAGATCAACAAGGGTCGCGCACCGTGCGTGCACGTGCCCACAGCAGGTTCCAGGTTTCCATATCAAACGTGTGAATCAAATATCTGAGCACATTTGGTTATAAAACAGTTGGCACAAAATAGCTCTGACATCTAAACATTTAGTTACAGTTTAACAAGAATACTTTTAACAATTAATGCTTTTATTTTGAAACCAAATATTGGCAGAATATAAATAGGATAACTAAGGCATCAAATTATATAAAAAATAAATGCTTGAGTACAAAAAAATGTGTTAAAAAGTATTAAAATCTAAAGTGTTCTGTGACTCATGGTCATTTCATAATTTTCGTATTGTAGCAAACTAATGAAGTTTGACTTTGATTAAATGACCCAACAGTTTATAGAATAATAAATGCAACGAAGCAATAAATAATCACTGTTATTAACACTTAACATAATTATTTTCACCAAATCTGATACACTTTTAGAGGATCCAGTGAAATTTGTTTGTTTGTCCACTCAAAATATTGCAGAGTTCTTTTAATTGCCAGCTTAGCAAAAGTACAAAAAGTCTGTGTGCGCTTGAACAAAATATATCACAAACCACAAGACAGATTTTAGTGAAACTCACAGAAAGTAATGATTGATTGCACATCGACGACTCGTTAACATTTGAAGTCAAGATGACCACCACAGCTAATCCACATTATCCAAAACAATAATGATTATAACAGCCAATTTAAAAGGCATTGAGCTGAAATGTGGTGTGGTAGTAGCTGAGAGAGTGAGCCCCCACGCCTAGTTCAGGTGAAAACACATCTTACAAGCTCTCATAATTCAGAATGAAATCATGCATAAACTTATTTACAAAATGTGACCAAACATAACATGAGATGATCTTACTTCAAAACTGGCATAAAAGATCAAAGTTAATGCTCAATAATCCAAGTAAAAAAATCCAACAAAGTTCAATCAGGTCATCTGGACTGTTTCTTTTTTGCTGCTGTTGTTGAGACGTTTTGTCCTTCGTCCAAAGGACTTCATCAGTCCAGGGAGCTACAACAAACTCAGTTCCACAAGCAGAACACTCACTTAATGGGCCAACCAGTTTGATGGTGATAAGATGGTTTCTAGGACCCGCCCTCTCCCCCATCGACTCCTCTGTGGCAGCCATAGCCAAAATGGATCAAAACATCAAAGTTCATGCTCAATAATCCAGGTAAAAATGCCAACAAAGTTCAGTCAGGTCATCTGGAAGGTTTCTTTTTTTTGTTGTTGTTGCTGTTGTTGAAACGTTTTGTCCTTCATCCAAAGGATTTCATCAGTCCAGGGAGCCACAACAAACTCAGTTCCACAAGCAGCACACTCACTTAGTGGGCCAACCAGTTAAATGGTGATAAGATGGTTCCTGGGGCCCGCCCTCTGCTTGTGTGACTGAGTTAGTTGTGGCTCCTTGGACTGATGAAGTCCTTTGGATGAAGGACAAAACGTCTCAACCAAAAAAAAAATAAACAAAGAAACTGTCCAGATGACCTGATTGAACTTTGTTGGATTTTTTTTGTACCTGGATTATTGAGCATGAACTTTGATGTTTTGATCCACTTTGGCTATGGCTGCCTCAGAGTAGTCGACAGGGGAGAGGGCGGGTCCTAGAAACCATCTTATCACCAGCAAACTTGTTGGCCCAGTAAGTGAGTGTGCTTCTTGTAGAACTGAGTTTGTTGTGGCTCCTCAGACTGATGAAGTCCTTTGGACGAAGGATGAAATGTCTCAACAACAACAACAACAACAAAAAAGAAACCATCCAGATGACCTGTCTGGCACAAAAGGTTGTGGGTGACATGCATTCCTTCAGTGTTAGACTTTTATTTCCACTTTAAGAGGTGGAGTATTTGAAGTTGCAGCTTTTCATTTGGGACCAACTGGACCTTTCACTTGTTTTAAGCTTCAGGCTCAGAGTTTCTGCTGTAATCACAGTTTTAACATTTTCTCAGTCAGTGAGGGGAAGCCTTACATTATCATTTGCCGTGTCTGCCAACACGTCTCCCACCTGTGCACATAGACACATTTACACATTGCCCATGGGCCTTGCTATCACATCAGGCGCCCCAACAGTCTCAGAACCAGGATCCAAACCCACAGGAACCCGCAGGTCGGCGTGGTGCTGCTGGACGCTCTGACAAATCTATTTGGGGCAAATTGTCAGTGAGAAACTTCCGCTCGAACTGCCGTGGACAAAACTGGCTGTTGGGGAGAGCAAATCCTGCTGCATGAGGGTGGGGGACAATGAGGGCCGAATGTGTTGATGTGCGGCCGGTGGCTGGGGAGGGACAATGGACGGATTAGTCAGTCCCCTGGCTGACTGATTTGAGATGGCTCCTCTCAGCCTCTCGCTGTGGGGAGTCCCATTGTCCCGCTTCTGATTCCCACTTCTCACAAACTCCAAACAAAAGTCAATCTCTTTCTCAAGGGACTGGAGGAGGGAGGTGTGTGTGTGTGTGTGTGTGTGTGCAGGGGGGTGAATATCGACCTGTGTTTTAGCTGGAGAAAGTGACTCAAAATCTCCTTCACACTGACTCTCTAACTCCTCTTCCACTCTTTATGTCCCTTTCTTCTGCTCTCGGCCTTCATCCTCTTCATCGGTCTTTACTGACCAGCGGTGGTGGAGAAAAGCTGACTGATCCCGACTCGAGTGGGGCTGGGGCACCTGTTGGATAAGCGCATAGAGACGGCTTTGCAGCCACAGTCATTAATATTAAAATATACAGGGATGCCATCACGAGCTGGTCTGAAATCGGTCTGATGTCGCCCCTGGGTTCCCTCTCTGGATGGACCGCTGCTTTCAGTCCCCTCATGAAGAGTTTTCTTTCTTTCTGCCTTCTCTTTTTTTCTTGTTTTCCCCCATCCTGAAAAGACTCGTTAACAAATTATGACAGCTGAGCAGAGGGGCTTAGTCTGTCCACGCTGCCAGACAGACACGAGAGAGCCAAAGAGGCCGCCATGTTTTCAGCGTATATACTGTTCGTTTCATATTCGGCCTGTGGTGTGTGAAAGAGCAGGCTTCATACCATACCATACCATACCATACCATACCATACCATACCATACCATACCATACCATACCATACCATACCACTTTATTTATAAAGCACTTAAAACAGCTACAAGGCCAACCAAAGTGCTGTACAGACAAAACAACCGGTAACACACCAAGCAAAATACAAAATGAGGTAAATCAGAATATAGACATAAAGACATAAAGACGCTTCTGCTTCAGTCACGCAGAGGCGCCTGAAGTGTCCAGAAGGTGGAAAAAAGCTGTCCTTTCTTTTCGCGCGGTCTCTAGAGTGTATGAAAAACATAAATATGATAAAGTAAAAGTATTTTTTAAAGGCGAAGTCATATTTTAAATTGACGTTTGGTAATACAGCGTTCGTTTGAGCTTATGTTTGGTGCAGTGAGGCCAACGTCCACATATCTCAAGAGGCTAAATTCATAATGTTTTTATTGTATTTAGTTGCTTTCATGCTGATTTTTATTGCCCTGCCACCAAAAGGATGTTTTAACCTGTGTTCCTGTCTGTTAATATCTCATGGGCCACAGTACAGATTTTAATGAAACACTCAAAGGATAATCATTAGAAGTACATCTACAGCTTTAAGAGTGAATCCAATTCAAGATGTCTGCCACAGCTAATAGACTTTAGTGAACACAAAAATGAAAATTACTGATTTTCATAGATATTGAGCTGTAATCAGTTGTGGTAGTAGCTGAGAGGCATTCTCAACACACGCTTTGACTGCTACAAGATCGTGCAAAATCGCTTTCAATCAATCAAATCAAAATAACTTTAAATCATCCTTCCTGAGTCAAACTGCACAAACAGGATCCATCCATCCATCCATCCATCCATCCATCCATCCATCCATCCATC